ATACACACACACAGATACACAACAACAACAACCGCCAATCGCAAAAAAGTGGCGGTGACGTCACCACGACACTTGTGCCAGGCTATGTGCACCCTGAGGCCACGTGAAGTGTCGAACGCCCGCTGGCAGGAGGTCACGGGGCAGACCCAGCAGGTGCCACGGGTCGACTGACTGAGATGAGTGGCTGATGCACCACCTGTGCCCCCTACTGTGCCAACCTGCTGTGCTTTAGCCACCCGGCGCTCTGCTCGTTGTTGTGAGCGTCGCTCCTCCGCCCAGCGTTGTTGTTGGAGGGCGACTGCCTCCAACTGCCCAGTAGCGTCCTTCACGAGCCTCCTCCACCGAGGCCGATCTTGACACCGCTGGTACCAGTCATCGGCAAGTCCACTCAGCTCCACGTCCACCTGTAGCACATCACTCCATCTCTTCTCTAGCCCGTGCCGCGCCCGCTTAGCCCCCTCAATCCGGCCGAACAAAAGCTGTTTCGGCATGCGGTGGCTGGGCATGCGGGCTACATGACCCAGCCATCGCAGCCTTCCCCGCCGGAGGAGCTCACCGATGGGACCTTGCCCAGATCTTTCAAGGATTTGTGAGCTCCTCACACAATCCAGTCTGGTTAAACCCAGGATGGATCGTAGGCAGGCCAGCCTAAATGTTTCTAACCGGCGAAGATGTTCCATTAGGGGGGTCCACGTTTCGCAAGCGTAGAGAAGGGAGGGAATGACCGTGGCCGAGAAGACCTGAAGCTTAGTGCGGAGCGACAGACCAGGTAGCTTCCACACAGCGTTACGCAACCGATGAAAAGATATTGCCGCTCGACTGATTCGGAGTGAGACCTCTGCTGTTAAACTGGAGCCGATCATAAGCACACTGCCCAGGTATGGGAAACTCTCCACTCTCTCCACAACTGCCCCATCACCAATTGGGAGTTGTGGGGGTGGAGTGTCTGATGGTACAAAATACCCAGGCAGGTGCTAAGTTTTGGTGGGGCTGATGGTAAGGCCCAACCTCTTAGTGGCACGCTCCAGTCTCAGCAGCAGCGTCTCCAACTCCTCCTCTGACTGAGCAGCTATTACCAAATCATCAGCATACATAACGTGGTTGAGCAATAGGGAGCCATCCCTTGACCACACCCGGGCATCGATCAGCCACCCATTATATGTTTGTGACAGAAATAGCTATGTTCATATTCTTTGCTCTTTCGGTAATGTCACCACCACGTTGAAGGGAAACAATAAAATAATAAATAATAAATGCAAAACTATAAAAATTCTCACGACGTTTCGACCATAACACAAACGGTCATCATCAGGTGTGAAAAACCAATGGCAATATTTGAAAGAAGTGGCGGTTTGTACAGAGTTATTTATTTATTTCCAAACGGTGCTTTTTATTTATTTATAAAAACCGTTAGCACCACGGGCAGCGATTTGTTAGTTTATTTAGAAGGACTACTCCATCTATGTTCTGAAAAAAGGAGGGGGGTGGAGACAAAAATTTAATGTACGCTGTCCGAAAGCCACCGTAAGCGTGAACAATCAATTAAGACCCGAAATGGTTTATCAAATCCTTCCAATGATTGCTAAGCCCAGAATCCATCTTCTCGGTTGAAGTTGTCTCTGTGCTTGTAAATGTGGATAGCCTCATGAACGAATCTCTCATGGTAGCCATAAGCGTGAACAATCAATTAAGACCCGAAATGGTTTATCAAATCCTTCCAATGATTGCTAAGCCCAGAATCCATCTTCTCTGTTGAAATTGTGTCTCTGTGCTTGTACATGTGGATAGCCTCGTGAACGAATCTCTCATGGTAGCCATAAGCGTGAACAATCAATTAAGACCTGAAATGGTTTATCAAATCCTTCCAATGATTGCTAAGCCCAGAATCCATCTTCTCGGTTGAAGTTGTCTCTGTGCTTGTATATGTGGATAGCCTCGTGAACGAATCTCTCATGGTAGCCAGATGGCTTACTGTATGAAATTTGGGTAGTTGGAGTCCTTTAGCGTCCATACACTAAACGCCTCTGTTGATAGGTAAACTCTGACTTTGACACAGCTGTCTCTGTCACAAGCTAATCCCTCAGCTATTTCAACGCTGAATTCTCCTGCGTTGACACTTTAAAACTCCTTTGTCAAGAGGCCTCACGCCTCCTCACCCACCTTAAAAAGACGATACGAATCTTAGCAACCGCTCATTGGGAGCTCTGTCGTACCGACAGTTTTTGTTGCTTCACCTGAAGAGGGCTACTTGTGCTGTGGCCGAAATGTCGTGAGAATTGTATTGTGTTATTTTATTTTATTATGTCATTATTTCACTCTCATTCTACGTGGTGGTGACTTTACCCAAAGAACCAAAGAAGATGAATCCTTGCAGTCACGAAAACTTTAAATCGAAATTTACATTTATTATATTGATGTACTTCACCTGAAGAGGGCTACTTGTGTTGTGGCCGAAACGTCGTGAGAATTTGATTCTGTTTTATTATTTTATTATTATCATTCTACGAGGTGGTGACTTTGCCGAAAGAACCAAAGAAGACGTGATAAAATTCTCACGACGTTTCGGCCACAGCACAAGTAGCCCTCTTCAGGTGAAGTAACAAAACTGTCGGGTCTACCTGAAGAGGGCTGCTTGTGTTGTGGCCGAAACGTCGTGAGAATTTTATCACGTCTTCTTTGGTTCTTTCGGTAAAGTCACCACCACGTAGAATGAGAATAAAATAATAAAATAAAATTCTCACGACATTTCGGCCACAACACAAGTAGCCCTCTTCAGGTGAAGTACATCGATATAATAAACGTAAATTTCGATTTAAAGTTTTCGTGACTGCAAGGATTCATCTTCTTTGGTTCTTTCGGTAAAGTCACTGCCACGTAGAATGATAATAAAATAATAAAATAACAAAATAAAATTCTCACGACGTTTCGGCCACAGCACAAGTAGCCCTCTTCAGGTGAAGTAACAACAACTGTCGGGACGACCTGAAGAGGGCTACTTGTGTTGTAGCCGAAACGTCGTGAGAATTTTATCACGTCTGCTTTGGTTCTTTCGGTAAAGTCACCGCCGCGTAGAATGATAATAAAATAATAAAATAACAAAATAAAATTCTCACGACGTTTCGGCTACAACACAAGTAGCCCTCTTCAGGTCGTCCCGACAGTTGTTGTTACTTCACCTGAAGAGGGCTACTTGTGTTGTGGTCGAAACGTCGTGAGAATTTTATCACGTCTTCTTTGGCTCTTTCGGTAAAGTCACCACCACGTAGAATGATAATAATAAAATAATAAAATAATAAAATAACATTCTCACGACGTTTCGGCCACAACACAAGTAGCCCTCTTCAGGTGAAGTACATCGATATAATAAATGTAAGTTTCGATTTAAAGTTTTCGTGACTGCAAGGATTCATCTTCTTTGGCTCTTTGGGTAAAGTCACCGCCGTGTAGAATGTGAGTGAAATAATAAAATAAAATAACACGATGAAATTCTCGCGACGTTTCGGCCACAACACAAGCGGCCTTCATCAGGTGAAGGGGACCAGGCTGTCTGGAGCACAGCGCTGGAGCGAGCGCTGTCCCTTCACCTGATGAAGGCTGCTTGTGTTGTGGCCGAAACGTCGTGATAATTTTATTGTTATTTTATTGTCATATTATTAAATAAATTTATAAATTTATTATTTTGTTATTTCAACAGCTCAATATTTAATTATTTTACCAACTTATTATTTTATTATATTATTGGAGTATTATTTTATTTTTTTATTGTTTTAGTATTGTGCCACTGTGATATTTTTTCATTTTAGTATAATTTTTTATTATTATTTTATAATTGTATCACTGAATTGGTTCATTATTTTATTATTTTAACAGTTATTACTCCATCGGTTTACTATTTTATTATTTTAATATTTCATCATTTTATTGTTCCACCACGTAGAAGTTTTATTATTTTATGATTTTATTGGTTTATTGCTTTATTATTTTATTATTTTTATTGTTTTATAATTTTATTGCTTTATCATTGTACAAGAGTATTATTTTAATATTTTATTATTCATTTGGTTTATTATTTTATAATGTTAGCGTCTGGCAGCACATTATTTTATTATTTTATTATTTCACAATGTTGGAATTTTATTATTTTATAACTGTACTGTTTTAATATTTTATTATTTTTACTGCTTTATCAAGGTATTGTTTTATTATTTTTACTGTTTTATTATTGTATTGTTTTATTATTCTATCGCTGTATTATTTTATTCTTTTATTGTTGTATTATTTTATTATGTTATTGTTTTAAAATTTTATAATTTTATTATTTTACCGGTTTATTGTTGTTTTGCTTTATTATTTTATTTGTTTATTATTTTATTGTTTTATTATTGTATGAATGTGTTATTTTTTTGGTTTATTGGTTTATTATTTTATTATTTTATTCTCATTCCACGTGGCGGAGACTTTACCCAAAGGACCAAGATTCAGATCCGAAACGTGTTTTTTTATTGGGGGAGGAGGTGGCAGAGCGTTGTGACGTCATATTTGAGGGGGCGTGGTCTGACTTGTTGTGATGTCATGTGACGAAAGGGGGGAGGGGGTCAAAAATCGTCCAAAATCGCGTGACGTCATTTATAAACGGCCCCACAAAGTCACGTGGAAAGGTTTTAAAAGAAAGATCGAATAGTTGTGTGGTAGACCCTCCCCGCATGACGTCAAGACGTCGCTGACGTCATCACGCAACCGACCTCGCCGACGTGATGATGTCATCATGCACATCCCCCTCTCCCTCAACCCCCTCCGCGCCGTACGTCATCACGTCGATTGACGTCATCTCGCAACCGACCTCGCCGACGTGCCGATGTCATCACGCAACCCAACCTTCCCCTGGGCGGATGACGTCACCGCGTCGAACGATGACGTCAGCACGCAACCGCAAACTCGCCGACGTGCCGATGTCATCACGTACTCCACCTCCCCCCCCCACTTCCCCACCCACAACTCTCCCGGTTGAATGACGTCACCTCTGCCCCTCCCACTCCTGGCGAGTGACGTCATCGCGCGTGACTCCTCCCACCAGTGGCATCGTGGTGGTGGTGCTGCTGAGTGTAAAATCGTCTCAAGGCGGTGAGTTACAAACTTACAATTTTGTGTTTATTTTCTTCTTTAAAACATCGTTTTATTTACAAAGTCCGCCGCTGCCGATGGCGCTGATGCTGCTGCTGCAGAAATTTACCTCTTTTTGTTTTTAAACACTTTAAACTAAAATGTTTTAACATTTTTGCGGCCTACCCCCCTCGCGGGAAGCCTCGGTCTTGCCTGAGTCGCCCCGCGGGCTTCGGAGCGCCCTATGCCGGCGTTGGTGGGTGGGTAGTGGGGGGTAGTGGGGACACTGACCACGTGGAGTGGTGGTGGTGGTGGTAGTGGCTATAGTGGTTGTGGTGGTGGTAGTAGTGGTGGTGGTAGTGGTTATAGTGGTAGTGATGGTGGTTTTGGTGGTGGTAGTAGTGGTGGTAGTAGTGGTTATCGTGGTAGTGATGGTGGTTTTGGTGGTGGTAGTAGTGGTGGTAGTAGTGGTTATCGTGGTAGTGATGGTGGTTTTGGTGGTGGTAGTAGTGGTGGTGGTAGTGGTTATCGTGGTAGTGATGGTGGTTTTGGTGGTGGTAGTAGTGGTGGTGGTAGTGGTTATCGTGGTAGTGATGGTGGTTGTGGTCGTGGTGGTGGTGGTGGTTGTGGGGTTGGTAGTGCTGGTAGTGTTAGTGGTGGTGGTGGTAGTGATGGTGATTGTGGTGGTAGTGATGGTGGTGGTTGTGGTGGTGGTAGTAGTGGTAGTGTTAGTGGTGGTAATGGTGGTGGTGGTAGCGGTGGTGGTGGTAGCAGTTGTGGTGGTTGTGGTTATAGTGGTAGTGATGGCGGTTGTGCTGGTGGTAGTGTTAGTGGTGGTAATGGTGGTTGTGGTGGTAGCGGTGGTGGTGGTTGTAGTGGTGGTAGTGTTAGTGGTGGTAATGGTGGTAGTGATGGTGGTTGTGGTGGTAGCGGTGGTGGTTGTAGTGGTGGGGGTGGTTGTTTGTAGTGGTGGTGTTAGTGGTGGTCGTGGTGGTGTTAGTGTTAGTGGTGGTGTTAGTGTTAGTGGTGGTAGTGATGGTGGTTGTGGTAGTGGTGGGGGTGGTTGTTTGTAGTGGTGGTGGTCGTGGTGGTGGTGGTGGTTGTGGGGTTGGTAGTGGTGGTAGTTTTAGTGGTGGTAATGGTGGTAGTGATGGTGGTTGTGGTGGTAGTGATGGTGGTGGTTGTGGTGGTGGTGGTAGTGGTGGTCGTTGTAGTAGTGGTGGTGGTAGTAGTGGTAGTGTTAGTGGTGGTAATGGTGGTAGTGATGGTGGTTGTGGTGGTAGTGATGGTGGTGGTTGTGGTGGTGGTGGTAGTGGTGGTCGTGGTAGTAGTGGTGGTAGTGTTAGTGGTGGTAATGGTGGTAGTGGTGGTGGTTGTGGTGGTAGCGGTGGTGGTGGTAGTGGTGGTTGTGGTGGTAGTGGTTATAGTGGTAGTGATGGTGGTGGTGTTAGTAGTGTTAGTGGTGGTAATGGTGGTAGTGATGGTGGTTGTGGTGGTAGTGATGGTGGTTGTAGTGGTGGGGGTGGTTGTTTGTAGTGGTGGTGGTGGTAGTGGTGGTAGTGATGGTGGTTGTGGTGGTGGTTGTAGTGGTGGGGGTGGTGGTTTGTAGTGGTGGTGGTGTTAGTGGTGGTGTTAGTGGTGATAGTGATGGTGGTTGTAGTGGTGGTGGTTGTGGTAGTGATGGTGGTTGTGGTAGTGATGGTGTAGTAAACATCCTGAGCACTGGGGAGACAAAGGCGGCCGGGCGTGATGCTGGTGGCCATCCATCCCCTCGTGTAACAGCACTTGCCCCTACAGTCTGTTAAGGCTATACGGGGGATCTTTGTCTATGTGTGTCTGTGTGTGTGTCAGTGGTTGTGTGATTGGGTGGGTGGATGGGGTTTAGGTGGGAGGGTGAGTGGATGGGTGAGTGGATGATGGGAGGGTGAGTGGATGGGTGAGTGAGTGAATGGGTGAGTGGATGGGTGAGTGAGTGGATGGGTGAGTGAGTGGATGATGGGAGGGTGAGTGGATGATGGGAGGGTGAGTGGATGGGAGGGTGAGTGGATGGGTGGGTGAGTGGATGGGTGAGTGAGTGGATGGGTGAGTGAGTGGATGGGTGAGTGAGTGGATGATGGGAGGGTGAGTGGACGGGAGGGTGAGTGGATGGGAGGGTGAGTGGATGGGTGGGTGAGTGGATGGGAGGGTGAGTGGATGGGAGGGTGAGTGGATGGGTGAGTGGATGGGAGGGTGAGTGGATGGGTGAGTGAGTGGATGATGGGAGAGTGAGTGGATGGGTTGGTGAGTGGATGGGTGAGTGAGTGTATGGGTGAGTGGATGGGAGGGTGAGTGGATGGGTGAGTGAGTGGATGGGAGGGTGAGTGGATGGGTGAGTGAGTGGGTGGGTGAGTGGGTGGGTGAGTGGATGGATGGGTGAGTGGGTGAGTGAGTGGGTGAGTGCGTGGGTGGGTGAGTGGGTGAGTGAGTGGGTGAGTGAGTGGGTGAGTGAGTGGGTGGGTGAGTTGGTGGGTGAGTGAGTGGGTGATTGAGTGAGTGGGTGGGTGAGTGAGTGGGTGAGTGGGTGGGTGAGTGGGTGAGTGAGTGGGTGGGTGGGTGAGTGGGTGAGTGAGTGGGTGAGTGAGTGGGTGGTTGAGTGAGTGGGTGGTTGAGTGAGTGGGTGAGTGAGTGGGTGAGTGAGTGGGTGAGTGAGTGGGTGAGTGTGTGGGTGAGTGGGTGGGTGAGAGTGTGGGTGAGTGGGTGGGTGAGCTATGTGGGGGATTTTTGCCTTACAGCACCGTGAGCAATGGGAGACGGAGTGGTGGGGATGAAGAGGAAGCAGGGACAGGATGGTCCTGGGAATGGTGAGCAGACTCACCACTCACACTCACCACTCACACTCACCACACACACTCACCACTACACAGATATCCATAGACTCACACTCACACTCACCACTCACACTCACCACTCACTCACCACTCACTCACCCACCACTCACTCACCCACCACTCACTCACCCACTCACTCACCACTCACTCACTCACCCACTCACCCACCCACTCACCCACTCACTCACCACTCACTCACCACTCACCCACTCACCACTCACTCACCACTCACTCACCCACTCACTCACCACTACACAGAGACCCATAGACTCACCACCACACAGAGACCCATAGACTCACCACCACCACACAGAGACCCATAGACTCACCACCACACAGACTCACCGCTCAGACTCACCACTCAGACTCACCACTCAGACTCACCACTCAGACTCACCACCACTCACACTCACCACTCACACTCACCAATCACACTCACCACTCACACTCACCACCACTCACACTCACCACTCACACTCACCACTCACACTCACCACACACACTCACCACTCACACTCACCACACACACTCACCACTCACACTCACCACTCACCACTCACACTCACCACTCAGACTCACACTCACCACTAACACTCACCACTCACACTCACCACTACACAGAGACCCATAGACTCACCACTCACCACCACTCACACTCACCACTCACACTCACCACTCACACTCACCACTCACACTCACCACTCACACGCACCACTCACCACACACACTCACCACTCACACTCACCACTCAGACTCACCACTCACCACTCACACTCACCACTCACACTCACCACTCACACTCACCACTCACACTCACCACTCACACTCACCACTCACACTCACCACTCACACTCACCACTCACCACTCACACTCACCACTCACACTCACCACTCACACTCACCACACACACTCACCACTCACACTCACCACTCACACTCACCACTCAGACTCACCACTCACCACTCACACTCACCACTCACACTCACCACTCACACTCACCACTCACACTCACCACTCACCACTCACACTCACCACTCAGACTCACCACTCAGACTCACCACTCACCACTCACACTCACCACTCACACTCACCACTCACACTCACCACTCACACTCACCACTCACACTCACCACTCACACTCACCACTCACCACTCAGACTCACCACTACACAGAGACCCATAGACTCACCACTCACACTCACCACTCAGACTCACCACTCACCACCACTCACACTCACCACTCACCACTCACACTCACCACTCACACTCACCACTCAACACTCACCACTCACCACTCACCACACACACTCACCACTCACCACTACACAGAGACCCATAGACTCACCACCACTCAGACTCAACACTCAGACTCACCACTCAGACTCACCACACAGAGACCCATAGACTCACCACTACACACAGAGACCCATAGACTCACCACCACACAGACTCATAGACTCACCACCACACAGAGACCCATAGACTCACCACTACACAGAGACCCATAGACTCACTACACAGAGACCCATAGACTCACCACCACACAGAGACCCATAGACTCACCACCACACAGAGACCCATAGACTCACCACCACACAGAGACCCATAGACTCACCACTACACAGAGACCCATAGACTCACCACACACAGAGACCCATAGACTCACTACACAGAGACCCATAGACTCACCACCACACAGAGACCCATAGACTCACCACTACACAGAGACCCATAGACTCACTACACAGAGACCCATAGACTCACCACCACACAGAGACCCATAGACTCACCACCACACAGAGACCCATAGACTCACCACCACACAGAGACCCATAGACTCACCACTACACAGAGACCCATAGACTCACCACACACAGAGACCCATAGACTCACTACACAGAGACCCATAGACTCACCACCAAACAGACCCTAAGACTCACCACCACACAGAGACCCATAGACTCACCACCACACAGAGACCCATAGACTCACCACTACACAGAGACCCATAGACTCGCCACCACACAGAGACCCATAGACTCACCACCACACAGATACCCATAGACTCACCACCACACAGAGACCCATAGACTCACCACCACACAGAGACCCATAGACTCACCACCACACAGAGACCCATAGACTCACCACCACCACCACACAGAGACCCATAGACTCACCACCACACAGAGACCCATAGACTCACCACCACCACACAGAGACCCATAGACTCACCACCACACAGAGACCCATAGACTCACCACCACACAGAGACCCATAGACTCACCACTACACAGAGACCCATAGACTCACCACCATCACACAGAGACCCATAGACTCACCACCACCACACAGAGACCCGTAGACTCACCACCACACAGAGACCCATAGACTCACCACCAGACAGAGACCCATAGACTCACCACGACACAGAGACCCATAGACTCACCACCACACAGAGACCCATAGACTCACCACCACACAGAGACCCATAGACTCACCACCATCACACAGAGACCCATAGACTCACCACCACCACACAGAGACCCATAAACTCACCACCACCACACAGAGACCCATATACTCACCACCACACAGAGACCCATAGACTCACCACCACTACACAGAGACCCACAGACTCACCACCACACAGAGACCCATAGACTCACCACCACACAGAGACCCATAGACTCACCACCACCACACAGAGACCCATAGACTCACCACCACACAGAGACCCATAGACTCACCACCACACAGAGACCCATAGACTCACCACCACACAGAGACCCATAGACTCCCAACTCTGACGTTGGTTGCGGTGATCCACAGATTCTGCGCACGCGAAGAAATCTCGCGTGCTCCCGGGAGACAAAGGTGGAGGAGGTGGAAGAGGAGGTGGAAGAGGAGGTGGAAGAGGAGGTGGAAGAGGAGGTGGAAGAGGAGGTGGAAGAGGAGGTGGAAGAGGAGGAGCCAGTCAGAGAATCGGCAGAGCGGCCAAAACACCGCCGCCGGCTGCCTTTCAGAAGAGCGACACGGGTCCCTTTAAGAAGAGCGG